TGAAGAATTTTTAAAATGGTATGTTTCATATAAATTTTTTTCATGAAATATCAGTATTAAACAGTATTAAAGCACTACATTTTATTATTTTTTAACTCATCCCAGTTTCTACACTTGGTTAATAGAATTCAAATGTCAGAATTTGAAAATATCATCCCCAGAATATTTTTAAACATCACAAATCCATTTAATTAGGTCCAAGATGAAAGATGATCATTTTAGGCTTCAAAATATTTTCCACTATATTCTAACTAAAAGTTGACTTAAATTAAACTTTAAAATCTTATTATGAATTTTATAGTGAATTCCTGGTATAACCTTTATAGCTATTCAAATCAGCAGTAAGAGATCCTCAAATCCTGCAAGAATTTCCCTGCACGGTTCCACCTACATTTAACAAGCTAATTATTCTAAACTGTAAAGCTCTCCAGCACAGAGATTGTGCTTATTTGTGCCAAATATTGTATTAGACTAGACATTACACATAAACATATTTAATTAATAATCCAAGATTTTATTTGAACACAAAAAGCTATTTGAATGACTGAATCATTCTAATCTAGCCAATTCAAAAACCAATTCAGTAAACACTAAGTATCTCCCAGGTGCCGAGAGCAAATAAAGATAAAATAAGACAGACTTTCTTCTCAAAGAGCCAAATAATTAAAAATTCAGGTATTGAACTCCCAAAGACAGACCATTAACAACCACCACAAGTTTCCACCATGGCTATCCAGACTTCAGGTCATATGGGATGCAATTCAACTTCAATAACACATAACAGCTGGTGTTCTATAGCTGCCTATAAGCTAGTGCTCAATTTCATATGTATGTTATAAATTATAACAATTCACATTTATATAGACCTCCCAATAGTCCTGGAAGATCAATATGGCAAGTTTATTCTCTCTTTATAGATGAGGAAACTACAGTTCAGAGGTCAGATGATGACATTGCCTACAGTCACACAGCCTTAATCCAACATGGTGGAACAGAATGTGAATTGGTTTCTAGAGTCAAAAGACCTAGCTTTATAAACTGACTCTGCCTAGTCTAACTGTTGTCTAAACACTTTCCCTTTCTACACCTCAATTTCTTTTCTTTTCTTTTTCTTGGTTAGGCAATGGGGTTAAAGGTCACACAGCTAGTAAGTGGATTTGAACTCAGGTCCTCCTGAATCTAGAGCCAGTGCTCTATCCACTGTGTCACCTAGCTGCCCCTATGCCTCAGTTCTTCAGCTGTACAATAAGACTGTTATGCTAGAAAATCTCTAGCTATCAATTACAATTCTAAATTTGTGGTCTTACAATACTATGCATGTGTCACTCTCAACTCCTTACTGATTCTCACCCCTATGTACAATATGTTAACAAGCCCTCATTTGACCTTCTCTCCTTGGACACTGCATCACCATAGTGCAGGTCCTCATCACTTCACACCTAAACTATTGAAATTGCCTAATGGTTGGTCTTCCTGCCATAAGCTCTCTCCATTTCAGTTCATCCTCTACTCATCTGTCAAAGAGATCTTCCTAAAGAAAAGGTCTGACCATCTCTCTCTCTCTCTCTCTCTCTCTCTCTCTCTCTCTCTCTCTCTCTCTCTCTCTCTCATACACATACACACACACACACACACACACACACACCAACTTAATAAACTCCAAGGGATCCCTAGCACATTTAGGATCAAATTTTAAAACCTTCAGTATTCAACACTCTTCATAACCTACCCTTCTCCCTCTCCCATCTTTCCAGTCTTCTTACATCTTATACCACCACCACCACCCATACACACTCACATATACATATACATGAATACTCTGAAAACCAGTGACACTGGATACACCATTTTCCAATCCAGGCATTTTCCCTGTCTGTCTCATGCCTCTGAGATGCTTTCTGTACTCATCTTCTTCCTCCTGGCTTCTTTGGCTATCTATAAGCACCAGTTAAATTCTACTTTCTACTGGAAGCCTTTCCTGATCCCTATTAATTCTAGTGACTTCCCTCTGTTGATTATTTCCAGTTTATCCTGTATGTAGTTTGTGCGTGGTTGTTTGCATGTTGGCTCCCCCATTAGACTGAGCTCCTTGACAGCAGGGGCTGTCTTTTGCCTTTTTTGGTATTCCCAGTTCTTAGCATTGTGCTTGAATATAGTGGGCACTTAATAAATGTTTACTGACTCACTGACTATACCACTTTGACTCTGTATGACACAATCATCAAAAAAAAAGGAGTTATCTCAATAAGATTAAGTTCAATTACAACCTTCCTAGTTAAAAATTACTCACACCAATTTTCATAGAAATCACAAATGAATGAAAAGTACTGGGTTGGTTCTTTGTGGTACTGGCTAACAATAAAATAATTGTACATATTGCTCTATTCTAGCAACCCAAAGATGGCACTAAAATAGAAGAGAGCGTTGAAGACAGTCAAACAGTGATAAAATTCTTAGTTCTACCAGCACACCTAAAAGGATGTGTGCTGTATTTATAGTTCTCATTTACAAATTATTCTTCAGAGTACCTCAAAACATAATAAAACCAAAACACTGCTATTTTGTAACTGACATAGTTAATGATACTAATCAACAAACAAAAAAGGTGTTTATACTTTGGTTTACTTGTGACAGAATGACTTATTTTCTATCAAATCAATAACCTTTATAGAATACCTTACATACATAATGTCATTATTATTATATAATTATACAATATAATTATATTAACAACCTAGCTTTAAGAAAAAAACCCAAACCTATAAACTAGACTGATAAATCACTTTTGTAAATATGAGAAGTCATTTTGAAATTAGCTACTTTTCTGTGGAAAAACTAACTAAACAGCCTCCTCTAAAAATACTAATATCAAGTATATTGTTTTTAGGGATAGATAAGTTATAGTGGACACATAAGCTGCAACTTAATTATTCATAAGTAATAAAATGTCACAGGAATGTGAGCTATTAAATGTTTACACATGAGAGGTTTTGTGAATTTACTGCTCCAAAAAAAAATTCACCTTTTGACAAGATGGTCTCTGTTTTAATTGGTGAGAAAGTTATACCACAAGAAATAACACTAAATTTACAAGTACTAACACATTGAATTCAAACAGCCCTAGAAACATTAACAAAATTATACCAAACACATCTGGATTTGGACATTTTTTTCAATGTGGAGTGCATAAAATGATATACTACATGAAAGGATAAATTTTCAAAGATAAACTTTTGATTAACATCAAGAAAAATTAAAAACACATTCTGAGAAAAAAAAACTGTGCCACCAAACTATTTGGTTGCCTTCAAAAAATAAAAATGCAAACATTAATAAATTATAACAATGTGAAAATTAATGGCTAAAAAGAGGTAAATTTGGGGGCTACAAAATTGTCAAAACCTGAATCAAATTTCATGGGGGAACTTACAGCAGTTCCGCAAAACAGTTCAATTTCAATAAGAGCTTCAAAGATGCAGAAATTCTAACTTTTTGGGTACCTTCTCTTGGTACATTATTAATATAGAAAAGGGGAGGGATCATAAATGGTTTTCTGCCTAAAGCTGGTACCTGTGTCGAAATGAATAGGCATCTCTGTCATTAAAAAAAAAAGTCTAGCACGCTTTTTTCAAATAGAATTGATTGGGTATTGCACAGTTACTACTCCCCACTCACTATACGTACATACACACATTTATATACGGCTAAATACGCATATATTTAAGGGGTCCAGCAGAGATAAGTTCAAAACAACTCTTTAGCCTAAAATCAACAACTGTGAGGAAATATTATTTTACTAGGGTCGAGATATGGAGACTATTCTCTGGGACTTTGGGGATTTTGACAAACACAGAAGTGGTTAAAGCCAGGTCCAAAAACGTGAAGCCCTGACCGGGATAAGCAACAGCGAGGGGTTTGTCGGGGCAAACCGCAAAGCCGCAGCTGCAACGCCTGACCCCGCTCGGCGCCGCAGCGAAGGTTTATCCGCCCAGAACAGCTCCCGCAGGACACCCTTCAAAGACAGTCCTGCGCTCGGAGGGAATCCCAGCCCCCGGGCAAAGAAAGAAGCCTCTAAGGTCCCCAGCTTTGGAAGCTTTGTCAGCTCCTAATCCTCCAGACCTCCAATCCAAGAAGACCCCCTACTCCCGGGATGTCTGAAGAGCCGGGGGAAAGTGACTCTTAGAATTCCGTGTCCCCGCCCAAGAAACAAGGGAAGACAGGTCCTAAACTATCCTTCAAACCCATTTTCTTGCTACGGAAATCACGCAGCGGAGAAAGCACTGGACATGGGTTCTATTCCTGATTCCGCTACTTGCGGGCTGAGTGACCCTGGCAAAACCCTTCTCCTCTCTATGCTCCCCTTCGCAAAACAAGGATAATACACGCGCTCTCGTCTCACAGGAATAAAAGAAAGCCCTTGGTCAGTCTTGTAAGCGCTAAAAAGATCTGACTTATTATTATTATTATGGGGGGGGGAGAGATGTGCGGGGAAAGTGCTCAGCAAACAGTCCTAGATCTCCACAAAACCAGCCAGCAGCGAAGAGATGACAAGCTAAGAGAAGTCACCCCCATGCCCGCCCGCCCGCACACGCTTGGCCACTGTCACAAGCTCCCTGCGGGAGCCGCTGTCCCTAGTGAACACACACACACACACACATACACACACACACACACACACACACACACGCCTGCAGTGTCGGACTCAGGCGTCTGGCTAGTCTTCCTTGCCCCCGGGCAGGCGGAGTGGCGCGGCGCGGCGCGACCACCACGGGGGGACCAGCCCACGGCGCGAGCCGCGCTGAAGGCTGCCCGCCGTGCCCCAGGCGGGGCGCCGGAGCTCCGGGCTAAGCTGGCCCGAGCCTGCCACCGCCCACGTCCCGGTCCTTGCCTTGCCTCGCCCAGCGGGGAGCAGCGGCACGGGACGGGGTAGGGGCGCCAGTGCCTGCCCGAGCGCGCACCCACGCGCGCACACGCACTCCCTCCCCCTCGCACCTGCTCACCTTGGGCTTGTACAGCCACTTTCGGAACCTGTTCATCATCGCCTCCGCCGGCTCTCGCCCGCCCCCGCCCCCGGAGGAGGCGGCAGTGGCGGCGCCCCCCGAGGACCGGCTGCCCAAGGGAGACAGGGAGACAGGGAGACCGAGGACCACGGCGAGGACGACGCGGACGACGCCACGGCGGGGACGGGCCGTTCGCGGCGGCTCCTCCGCAAGCTTGGTCCCAGAGCGCACGGGGGCAGCCGCTGGGGCAGCCGCTGCCGCCGCCGCCACCTCCTCTTCCCCAGCACTGAGCCCTCGGGACGGCTCGCGGAGGCAGCGGGGGACGGGGTGCGCGCGGCGGGAGGGGGAAAGGGAAGGGGGGAGGGGCTCCCGCTCGGGCTCCGGCTCCAGCTGCCGCTCAGGTTCGAGCCTAGCCCGGCGCGATCTCTGGCTCAGCTTCCTTCTCTCCCTTCACTGACAGCCCCAAAACATTCCACAGTCACGGCGGCCCCAGGGTTGGGCACATGCGCCGTCCGCACCGGAAGCCCCCCTCCCCTCCGCTATCCAAGCTCAACTGAGGGGAGGTGTTGGGAATTAGGGGTGGGAGTCGGGGGGGGGGGTAAGAAAGCTCTCCACGACTGCCCAATCACTCCTCGCAAGGTTACGCGCTCCCTCCCACCCTAGCTTTACAGAGCGCCCAACGCCCGCGCATCACGTTCTTCTGGGTCTGGAGAAGCTCCCCAGCTCCTGTCCTGAGGGAATCAGAAACCAAGGCAAATGACAAGCTTTGCTCGAAGAACTACAAGCCCCAGGATGCATTGCGAAAAGCGAGCTTCTCGGGCACTGTTTTCCCTCTGGAGAAGAATACGCTGGGAGTTGTAGTATTCGCCGGAGATCTGCGCTTTGCATTCTGGGGATTGTAGTCACTTTGTAAAGGCGGGGTGCTGGGGGAGGGTTTTCTTTTCACTTCTGGCTCCGCGTTCTGGTTGCTAGGCGACGGCGCACAAACAAGCATTCCTTTCACTCTGCTCACCGTTTGAGTAGTTTTCTCACATCCCGCTGAAGCAAAGAGCAAAAGAGTGATGGACTATAGTTCCCAGAAGACCGCGGTCTCGCTAACCTAGGCAACGCTGATGGTTGTGTAGACGCCGAAGGAAGATTCTGTGAGTAAGAGCTGAGCAACAGGTGTCCTGACCTAATCTGTAAGGAAGAGTTCACTGATGGGGGACTCAAGTCAGAGGCTGTGGAAGGAAAGGGGGTGCCTGGGAACCAGGTTTTTGCTTAGCTCACCTAGCATCTTTTTGACACTGACTTTCAATTATTTAGGAACTAGGTTGTTCCCTTTTTGAGGGTTATTCAGTCCTCTGCCTCGTTGAGACCAACCACCTTTATTTCTTGTCTGCTTATTCTCAGGTACCCTTCCCCCTCCCCCAAAAGTCTAACCCCTTGGGAGTTGCTGATTTCCAGAAATTTAAATGATTTTATTTAAATATGTTTCATTTGCTTCATCTGTAGCATGAGAGGGGTTGGACTCCATGGTCTTTGAAGTTCCTTTCAGATCCAAAATCTTAGGATCTCGTGATCCTAAGCAGTTTTAGGGAGCCTTTAACCAACTTTGCCCCAGTTACGTTCATACCAGAGGGTAAAGAGTTTGATACATCTAAAATGCATGATACAAAAAGTTGTTGGGAATAATGAGTGACTGAATTCTTTATTTAAATTCTTTAAGCCTGAAAATGAACCATCTCCCTAGATTTTGTCTGAATCTCACCTTTATGGAGTCATAGCCTACTTGGACTATTTATAAGGGCTAATCTTCCTGCTAAGCTGCAGGCTCTTTGAAGGCATGGACTTGAATATAGTAGGAGCTTGTTAAGTAAGTGTTAAATTAGTGATAATATTAATTGTCATAAATAACCCCATACATTTGTGTAGAACTTCAAGATTTTAAAAGAGAAGCAGTAGGTAGGCTAAAGTGAAGGCCAGCCTTTGGAGCCAAGGTTGAAAACTTGGACATGGTCACTTACCAAGTAGGGATTTGAGTAGATTATGATCCATCACTAATGAGGAATTTCACAGGAGACAACTCTTCAAGTATATCACCAGAAAGATGTATGACAAGAGAAGAAGGCAGTCAAATCACGTGCAGAGAAGGAGGAATGACTGATGCCCAGCTCAGTTTCTCCATTGCTATCTACGGTAACATAAAGAGATCAGAGATAGGTGCTCATCCTGGCTGGTGGTGCCCTGCGGAGAATTTATGGAGGACATGGATACAAAGGCATGGCATGAATCTTCATCAGTGGAGGGAGCATCTCCCACAATGAAATTGCATAGCTATCAAAGCACTCAAAAGAGATCCTTGCTAATAGAGGTCCAGGGAGAGCACTAACAAGTAGGGAGGGAGCAGGACTGGAAGCCAGGCTTTACAAAGGAGGCAGTATCTGAGGTGAGGCGTGAAGGAAAGTAAGGTGTCTCAGACATAGAGATGAGGAGAAAATTTCTTCTAGGTATGGTGGAAGTGCCATGTGAGGTCTAAGAATCATTGTTACCAATTGGGGAAATCAGAGGAGGCTCCCTGGAAAAGAAGGGATTTGAATTAAGTTGTAAAGAATGAGTAATAATTAAGTAGTTAAGGTAGAGGAGGTGACATTTCAGACGTGGAGAACAGAGCAAGCAAAAACTACTTCAGAAGAGTTCAGGTCTTTTTAAAAGTAAGAAAAGCTGGAGCTTCTAGGATCAAGTCGTTTCTGGAGCATAGCTGAAAAAAATCTGGTATGTAACCTGGAGAAGAGTGCAGATATGGCTGGTCTAGGCATCCTTCTTAAATAGAAGCTCTGGGAGAAGCTGTCTAATCAGAGGGAGAGACCACAGGAGCAGAAGGTTTTTCTAATGTGTGAATTCTAGGGTTGGAAGTGAGCAATCAGGATGAAGAGATTTCTGGGGCATGGAAGAGAAAGTAAGGAGTGTAACCTGGAGAGGAATGAAGCATATCAATGAATAATAAAAAAATAAATAAATAAAAATTTGGAACAGGCATAATGCTACCAAATTGTGGATACCAGTCAAAGGCGTTTAAAATGTACTTGGTAAGCAATAGGATGCCACTTAGGATTCCTAGACAGAGAACTGGCATGACCAGATCTATACATAAGACCTAGTGTGTTGACTGCACCATGATGGATGAAATGGATATTTGAAAAAGCAGAGACTGTTTAGGAGGTAACAGTTCAAGGGAATGGTAATGATGGCTTGGACTGGAGGGATGGCAGTGGTAATGAAGAAGAAGAGACAGATAGGAGTTGTTTCAGAGGTAGAATTAATCAGACCGGAGAACTGATTGGAAGGGGGTGGGGTAGGGAGAAAGGCATTGGTCAGAGATAACCCCCAGCTTACAAAAATGCCTCCTCCTCTGGTTGTCAGATGTCACTTGATCCCTCTGTCACTGTAGTAGCGGCTTCTAATTCTGTTGCTTTATTTTACACCCGGTTGTCTGGGCAAGGGTGTCTTTCTGCTTCTCCTGCTATTTGCTGCTTCGTTAAGGCCTTTTTTCATTTACTTCCGAACTTGAGACTGTTCTGGGCAAATGCAGTTGCTGGAAGGCAGACCTCTGAAATGAGCTTTGATCTTGTCATGGACAAAACTCATTGGATTTGAAGTCAAACTGAATCCCAGTTCTGCCCCTAATTAGCTATATGACTATAGGAAAGTTACTTAACCATGCATAGTAAATATTTAATAAATGCTTGTTGACTTGATTTTATTTAACCTCTAAGAGCCTCAGATTTCCTCTCTGTAAAATAATACTTGTACTACCCGCCTCACAGAGTTCTTGTGAGAAAGGAGCCTTGTAAACCTCAACATATATGTCTATGCTCCTTTATTACTATACCCTGTATGTTGATACATTACATTATTGCACAATAATGCCAATTATTTATTATCTGTAACCAGAACAGCATTATAACTTCTTTTGGCCTATCACCATTTTATAATATGAGGCTCCCTCCTAGAATATTATTTTTCCTAACATCATAGAATCACAAAACCACAGAGTTGGAAGGGATTTCACAGGGCATTCAGCCTAATCTGTACCTAAGCAAGAATCGACCTTACACAATCTCTGACAAGTGATCATCTACCTGAATATCTCCAGGTATGAGAAAGTCACTGCTTCTCACAGCAACCCATTCCAATCTTGAATAGCTCTCATTCTTAGGAAACTTTGTTTTATTTTTTTTAATTTTTAAAATAAAATTAGATTGATATCTTTTGTCTTTTACATCACCAGTATTTCCTAATATCTCCTTCTTCCATCCCAAAGAGCCATTCCTTATAATAAAGAACTAAGAAGGAGAGACGTGCCACAAAACTGACACCAAAGAAAGGCTGATATTTGATGTATTATTCCACACAGAAGGAGGTACCTTCTTGGATCTCATCCTCAGGCTCAGGCTTGGTCACTAAAGTTTCTCACTATTTCATTTTGTTTGATCATTTCTGTATGTTGTTATATTCTTATAGTCATTGTGTGTGTCATCTTCCTGACTCTGCTTACTTCACTTTGTATCATTTCAACTAATTCTTTCTATTCTTTAATGGATTCATCAGTCAGTATTTCTTAGAGCTCAGTAATATTCCATTCCATTCATACACCACCCCTTATTTAGTCCTTCCCTAAGAGATGGGCATCTATTTTGTTTCCAGTTCTTTGCTAACATTAAAAAGTCTTGCTATAAGTATTTTCATTTACATAGGGACTTTCTTCTTATTGTTAACTTCTTTGGAATATGTATGTACCTGTGGAATCTCTCAGTCAAAGGGTTTAGCCATTTTCATTACTTTCTTCTCATAATTCCAGATAACTTTCCAAAACTGTTGTATCAATTCACAGCTCCACTAATAATTCATTAGTGTGTCTATCTTTGCATAACTCCTTCAACATTAACTTTTCCCATCTTGGATCTTCTTTGCCAATTTACCTGGAGTATAGTGAAACCTAAGAGTTATTTTGATTATCATTTCTACTAGTTGGTTTATCTGTCTTATCTATCAGATCTTTATCAGGTCTATTTAAATATTTGGCACAAAAATTTTTTCCAGTTGACCACTTCCTTTCTTTTCTTAATTGTATTAATTTTTTTCATGCAAAGGCTTTCATATATTTGGAATTTTTCATTTTACCTTTTGTAATCACCTCTTCGCTTTGTTTGGTAAATGATTCATTACCTAGCCACGGCTGTGAAAAGCATGTGACCTGTTTCTCTTCTAATTTTTCTTATGAGATTTAATATTCAGGTCATGTATCCATTTTGAATTTATTGCAGCATATGGTAAAAGGTGTTGAGCTAAACCTAATTTCTGCCATGCCATTTCCAGTCTCCTCAGCTCTTCTTGTCAAATAGAGAGCTTTTCCCTAGATAATTTATATTTTCAGGTTTATCTAGCACTGGGTTATTGAGTTTAATTATTGCTGTTTCTTTCCTCTCTAGTCTATTAAGAAGTTTTGTTTTCAAAGAGCCACTTAACCAACGTGTGGATTGTTTTTATGTATAAATGCGCATTTGTTACCAGGTTTTTGTATATCTTTTAAAACTGAGTGGTGGATTTAGGGGTATGGAGGCTAGCAGTAGTGTTGCAAGGGTCATTGAAGCATTAAAAGAAAATGCACAGAAGAGAACAGGAGGAAAATCAGGAAGAAACACAGAAAAGCAGAACAGTTTTTAATGTAATATGGCAAGTTTGTTATATATCTTTTAAAAAGCAAGTTGTATGTAATAGAGATTCACAGATTCATATATAATCATCTTTTTTTGTTCTACCATATATATGGAAATGTTGTTGTGTTTGTCCTTCATTCTTGAAGAGGACCATGACAACAAGGAGACGATGGCATGACTTGC